GAAGACAGCCCAACCAACCACGATAGACTGGGTACCAGGTTGATATTCCTCCTAGTTGTAATAATCCAATAAAGTGTTGTGACATTGTCCAAAGCCTTTTCATCTGCCGAGCCCCTTTTGTTCTGTTAGGAGAGACTCGGCAAATAGAATAGGTTCGAAAGCAGGTGAAATTTATCCATTATGATTACCATGTTCAATTGAGGTAGCTTTTATAGACAGTGATTTGGGATAGACTTGCTTTCTTTCTTTACATGATTTTTCATTGTTCGTCATAAAAAAAGGTATTGTGGCTGTCTCTTGGGCGACTTTCGTACAACCAAGTCTACAACAGGAAAAGTCGTCATCCAACCAAAACGGTTCCAGTGCGGAGAGTAACTTACGGGGAGAGCGGAGGGACAACACGCCGGAGTCAGTGCCTATGGAGGTTTATATTGAATAGTGCATAAGGGTTATCAGAAGGATCGTGTAGCTTAACGGTAGAGTGTTCGTCTCAGAATCAAGAGTCCCGGGTTCGAACCACCGATCCTGTGTCTTTTGGGAAAGGCACTTTACACGAATTTTTTTCACTTATTCAAGTAAACATGAGTATTTTACTGAGCTCTGAGTCGGTGTTGACATAAAATCAAGTCGATAAAACTTGAAGCTGTCGTCGCCACGTCTTGTGTAACAGTATTCAATAAATAAATGAATAATTTAACCGAACGTGTTTATTATTTGAATCAGGAAGACATCACCGCAATACTCAAGAGCATAGAATCCGCCATGATTGTAGTTCAGCTAACGTATAGAAGCCGATGTGCATTTTACAGTAAATTACAATTTGTAAGATAGTAAATGAATAATTATTTGCCATTATTTTATGTTAACTAAATTATCCCATGAGGTATTGGAATAGTGCAAAGACATTAACGAAAAGAATCTGCCAAGTTTGTACTTTATATAAAGTATAGAAGCGGGTGTACTTTTTAATGTTTTTCGATCCCACTCTACTGCTTGTGTTTAGTTGTGTTTTACCGCTCTGATTTGCCCCAACCATGGCTAACATCGAAGTGCATCGTTCACTGGAAAGAGCTCATATCTGTTCACAACTAATTGTAAGTATAGCGTAATAGCACGTTACTTGCTCTTGTGCGCACCTAGACGGTCCACCTGACCGCAGGAATGCACATCGCCACCGCCTAGGTGGCAGCCAGAGACAGCCAAGACTTACACGACCGTAGGGCACAGCCTATACCATTTCGAGGTACCATTGAAATAAATGAAACATGTAAGAAATAAGCTGTTCAAAATCACGTACTTGAGTGTTCAACTATTGAAAACTCACATTGGCAGGGTAGCTCAACCTCAAATTTTTGTCCATGTAGCCAAAATTCTTATTTTTGAATCGACACAAACTTACCGTAAGACGGCCACAATGACCTCTAACCCCCTGAACTCCACCAAACGCAACAATATATAGCATCACTTCTAGGGCTCAATCCAGCATCAAAAACAGGCCTAGAAGCCTTTTTCAAGGAAATAAAAAGACCCCCAGCTGCAAAACGCCAGCAATTAGCAAGATATTCCAAGGAAAGGCTGTTTACAGTTGGTTTGGCTGCTAGTAGAGTAGCTATTTTTTTCCATTAAACCATTGTAACATGGGGCAACTTTAATATTGATGGGCTACATGTACATGTAACTAGCTTTTGGCTTAGGTTGCTGATTGGGCTACATGAGAAAAACAAGTATTTCGAACCCTGATGAGTGACTATATTTACTGACTGAAAGAAGTCGCTCATAAATATCTATTCATTTATATCATGCTAATAAAACACATTGGTCATTGTGTTTAGCAAGTACAAATTATGCCCTATTGGTTCTTTGGTTAAAAATGTAAAAAAAATATATACTATGAATGGATCTTAGGAAAAATATAACTATAGCACAAAGTTTTATTGGTGTCATCAAATTTTATTTTATTCTTGCTTACCACAATTTAAAGTGCATTGGTATTATATAAGTAAAACGTTATTTTTTAACACTGTATTGTATTCCTCGAAGTACTGCCTTTCACATCAAGACTGTGAAGATTCAGGTCAGATAGTGCTAAAAAGATATTGTGTGATTTGCGGTCATTGTTTTACACATATTCACCTGCGAAGATGCACATGCAATGCCCACACATCATACGATAGTAGTCTTCATTACACAACATCAAAAATTAGAATTAAAAAGTTTATATTTAATTTAATACGTTAAACATTACAGTCTCTTTCTTTTTGGATTTTAATGTGTTTTTCTTAATTTTAGATGTTGCATTTTCTTATTCGCAACCAAAATAATCAATCATCTGTTGCTCCTACGTTTTAACCCTCAAACTCCAGAACTTTTTTTGCGACGGAAATGGCCGAACGGGGTCCAAATGGACACCATTTGAACTTGAAGAACTTGAAGAAGAGATTTATTGACAAAGTCATGGGAGGAATTTTTTTCGAATCAAAAAATTTTCAAATAGCACATAAAAATATACGCCTGGGTTTCAAATGGACCCCGTTCGGGTGTTTGAGTTTTAATGTGTCTACTCGGTACTCCACACTTTCTTGGCCGTGCCCACATCTTTGTAAACAACATGCCGTTAAGTAACAGTTTAAATATTAGTAATCTACATAAACCAAATATGTTGAGTATTCCTTTCTGATTACATTTAATCGTATAGCGCAACTTTCATCTTGAAAAAAAAAACCTTTTTACATTGATACGTCCAATTCATTTCTTAATTCCCAACCATTTACACTTTCCGGCCTTTTTCTCATAATAATGTCATTTGCAGATTACGAATTTTACATATACACTTAGAAAATTCAACATGAGCTTTCACATTCCTATCCCTTTTAATTTTTGGTACACTTTTCTGCTTTTTGCAGGCTGACAAAAAAACAGCATTATTGCTTTTGTTTAAACTTGACGTATAGAACTGGCACAAGAATCCTATGTCGTAGTGATCACAAAATATAGATGTGATTCTCATTTTCAAATTTTTACAGCATATATGGAATCTTGTAAGTAGGCAAAATTTGAAATGCAGGTAAAATCTTCGTCAAGATACCATTTCACTAATGGCTCACATATACAAAGCAACACGTGATAGCAGGTCAGGTAATATCTCGGAAATTTGACCGAAACATTATCTGAATTGAGACGTGGAAATACTACATTGCATACGTCATTGCACAGGCACAGTGACAAGAATGAAGCCTAAAAACAATTTCTCATGATGAAAATAACACGTTTCAACAATCACAATGATTCTGTACCATGGTCATCATAATTCACAAAATAAAACTGTATTTTTTTTATTTTACAACATAAATAAACTGAATTTTTTCACACATTTGACATTTCATCCTTAAATAATTTCATCAGGTTGGTAAACGACTGAATAGCAGGGAATTGCCCTGATGAAGATGACAGAAGGTCATCCAAACGTTGGCTTGAAAAATAAATGGTTGTGATAAAAAGAACTTTGCTATTCATTTGTCATTTCACTTATAAACAAAAAAACAACAACAACAACTAAGCAGACGTTGGCACGTCTCGTTTCTACTTGTCCGTTTTGTATTTATATCGGGTGTGTCTGGCAGATAAAGCTGTGGCTTCTCGAGCAGTGATCATCATCCCACATGGGGTAACCAGTGCGAGCTGACCAGTACTGTACGCACAGTTTCGTCATGATAAACGAACGACAGTTAGATGGCTCTCCTGGATTCCATCCCTGTTTAAACATAACGGAATAGTTAATAACTACAAATTGTTAACCACTCACCTCTACATGCTACTTAAATTGTTTAGACTTGTACAAAGTCGTGATATTGAAAATAATATATACTGCATTATAAACAAGAGTTCCACGACATCATACCTTCGCCAAATGTTAACCCTTCCGGTGAAAAAATTATACAATTTTAATCATTGATTTTATAACTAAGAGCATATTTGCTTGGATTATATCAGTTGATCATATTCTCTACCCAATGACAGCCTTAGTTTAAGAAAAAGCTATAAAGGCTATTCTAGCACTTTCTCATAAATTATGCAAATGGCTCATGATTTGAAAAAAATATGTCTATTGATGTTCACCTTCACATAACTTCTAAATGTGGCAAGTATAAACTTCCAAGCAGTTACAACTAAATTATAACAATTTCCAATTAATTATACAAATTAGGTCTTCATTTACATAAGCTATATCCTCAGATGTTCTCGTTCTCAATTACACCTCACAAGTATTTCATAGTCCCATTATCGAACGAATCAGATTTATCTCATTCATTATGCAACTTAATCCATGGTTTGCATAATTGGTATATGGCCATGTCAGTCATCACTTCATCTACCTTCATACTAAAAATCACGACAATCCGTCACCTGGTTAATGAGTTATCCTCCTTCGAATGTCTTTTCATAAACGCCCATGCAGTTCTAGAACAAGCCGCTAGGGGGCTCAAACTCATATATAACACTTATTCCCTAGCTAAAGATCTATCTACCGTCTAAAATCCGTGACCCTAGCATGTCCAGATCATGAGATATCAAAACTATAGGTTCTGCTACAGTACCAACAAAAGCTGCCAGGGGCCCAAAAATTTAATCATGTCTTGGTCTTATCAAGACATACCAACCTACCAAGTTTCATGACAATGCATATAAAGCTTTCTGAGTTATGCTGCTAAACAGACAGACAAACGCTACTGAAAATTATTTTGTTTGTGCTAAATGTGTTTTACCATGTTATCGGTTGTATATGTGCTTTTATTTCTGCATGAGCCCTGGAAGACTAGCCTTCTGGGCTAAAAGGCATCGGAACAAAAAGAGAGCGAGAAAGGAATAATACATTCTGTTTGATGCATGTATCTTGATAAACGTACCTTGTAGTTGCCCAATATTGACCCATCAACCCATTCCCAGCGTCTTTCGCGACGACAGAAGTTTTCCTTGTCAAACAAGCCGATCCAATAGTCCCTGTTTTGGCCTTCCTTGCGGACCATTTTTCTCAAAGCGATGTCCAGTTCTTTTGTTTTAGGCATGGCTAGCCTCGCTCCCTCTCTCTCGCAGGCTTCTCTGGCGTCCTTGTGGCTCAATGTTCGGAAGTGAAGCCGGACGCAGGTCCTAGTGATAGTGAGGAGATTGTATCCAACTCGGCAGCTGTCACTCTTCGCAGCTGTACCAGGAAAGGAAGATCATCGTAAATAACGTTGACTAAAAAACAACAAAACATATAATACCAACCCTGGAAAGAACAAGAAACAGGCATAACTCCAAATATTAGAGTTATCAACCTAGAATTGAGGTGTCCATTTTTTTTTTCAAGAACTATTTAACAGTGGAATTAGTGGACAGCTCGTAAAGTTGGGGCATCGTCACTAGAAAGCTTTGAACAGCTCCTATAGTTAGACTTTCAAAGATTGGGAGTAACAGGTCGTTCGTTGTAATATTGCTAGCTGCCGCCGCGCCGCGTGCCTGCAAAGCTGGTGTGTTACGCCAGAGGATGGTTATACTGGCTATAATAATACAGATAAGAGTTAAATTGTGGGACCACTATTCTATGGCCTTGTCAATGACTCCCATTACATAACAGTATACACCCCTGAAAGCGGCACCCCTTTGAAAGTCACGGAAAATACGGCACACCACATGCCCAATTAGGCCATGTTGATTTGATTATATGGATGACATCCTCCGGGAATCCCAAAATTGATGCGCGCGTGCGAAAAAAAAAAGTTATGCAAAAAAAAGTTGTTTTCATTATGAAATTTACGTGGTCATGAGGGTTGAACAAATGGGACAGAATATGGTATGGCGAAGATCAAGTTCAAGTTCATTTCTTTACAATTTTGTCTTTTTTCGTTTGATTTTGGCATTCTATGACATTGGTATGGTTTTTTTGTAACTTACGGTATATTTTAGCTTATTTTGCAACTGTTTTGTACGATTTACAGTATGGTTGAAAACTTTTTTTTTAACGGCCGAAAATTCATGCGCGCGGATGTCATCCATATAATCAAATCAACATGGCCTTACAAAGAAATACAGGAAAGACAACAATGACTATTCACTGCGAACACATTGGAGAACGGCTCACCATTTTGACTACATACTACGAAACAGCTGTAAGGTACTTAACCCACTCTCTAGTCCAAGTAAACTCGCTTGTCACACCGGTAAGGTACTTAAACTAGTCTCTTGTCCAAGTAAACTTATCGTTCACACCTGTAAGGTACTTAACCTAGTCTCTTGTCCAAGGGAACTCATCTTTTACACCTGTAAGGTACTTAACCCAGTCTCTAGTCCAAGTAAACTCATCTTTTACACCTGTAAGGTACCTTACCCAGTCTCTAGTCCAAGTAAACTCATCTTTCACACTTTAGGTACTTAACCTAGTCTCTTGTCCAAGTAAACTCATCTTTCACACCTGTAAGGTACTTAACCCAGTGTCTTGTCCAAGTAAACTCATCTTTTACACCTGTAAGGTACTTAACCTAGTCTCTTGTCCAAGTAAACTCATCTTTCACACCTGTAAGGTACTTAACCTAGTCTCTAGTCCAAGTAAACTCACCTGTCACACCTGTAAGGTACTTAACCCAGTCTCTAGTCCTAGTAAACTCATCGTTCACACCAGTAAGGCACTTAACCTAGTCTCTAGTCCAAGTAAACTCATCTTTCACACCTGTAAGGTACTTAACCCAGTGTCTTGTCCAAGTAAACTCATCTTTTACACCTGTAAGGTACTTAACCTAGTCTTTTGTCCAAGTAAACTCATCGTTCACACCTGTAAGGTACTAACCTAGTCTCTTCTCCAAGGAAACTCATCTTTCACACCTGTAAGGTACTTAACCTAGTCTCTAGTCTAAGTAAACTCATCTTTCACACCTGTAAGGTACTAACCTAGTCTTTTGTCCAAGTAAACTCATCGTTCACACCTGTAAGGTACTAACCTAGTCTCTTGTCCAAGTAAACTCATCGTTCACACCTGTAAGGTACTAACCTAGTCTCTTGTCCAAGTAAACTCATCGTTCACACCTGTAAGGTACTAACCTAGTCTTTTGTCCAAGTAAAGTCATCGTTCACACCTGTAAGGTACTTAACCTAGTCTCTTGTCCAAGTAAACTCATCTTTCACACCTGTAAGGTACTTAACCCAGTCTCTAGTCCAAGTAAACTCATATTTCACACCTGTAATGTACTTAACCTAGTCTCTTGTCCAAGTAAACTCATATTTCACACCTGTAAGGTACTAACCTAGTCTCTTGTCCAAGTAAACTCATCGTTCACACTGTAAGGTACTTAACCTAGTCTCTAGTCCAAGTAAACTCATCTTTCACACCTGTAAGCTAAGGTACCTTATCCCGTCTCTAGTCCAAACGAAGGTAAAAAAAACTCAATGAGTCAAGTGCCAATGCAACGACTTTCAACACAAACCTACCGTTATCGCTGCAGCCTAGAACCTCCACCCTCATACTCATATGGCCATGCCAGGATTGAGGCAGGAAACGCACGTACCGGGCATCAGTGGGACTGTCCAGCAGGTTGGTTACAGGAGTGCTCCTGTCGGTGTTGCCTGGAAACACCTGAACGTCACAACCACGAGGATAAACAATAGCAGTTTTTTTTAGATTCTTTGCATAATATATTAGCTGAAAGCCGATACAGTTATTGTGATAAACAATATTAGTGGCAAGTCAAACCTTAACTCTAGTAAGTAACAGCCGCTATGGTTATTTAGCGTAATGGTTTATGACTGATTGGAGTTTTTCTTCTTTTTGATCTAGAAAAAATGGGATATCTGTGCATATAACATTAGCAAAATTAGAGTTAGCGCCCATCCTCTGGAGATAGAGAGAGGCCGGTATAAAAGGCTAACTGTATGTGAAAGAATGTGTAAATACTGTAGTGCAAAGGCTGTGGAAAACGAAATACACCTTATCTCAAATTGTTCCTTTCATAGCAACGCTCGAAATGAGTTAACTATTCAAACTTCTACAATCTATCCCAATTTTACTAAACTTACAGACAAAGAAATCCTTCTTTAAACTTCCCAAAACCCACTAATTTTAGAAAAGGTGGGACATTACGTCTTTCATGGTCTAAAAAAAGAAAAGTCAAACCCCATAGACATAGTTTTAGACAGAGCTATAGCTCTAAACAACTACCTTTTATCATGTAGATTTTAGTTATTTTATACTACGTTTAATTGTTCTTTTATGTTTGTAATCTGCAATTAGCCCCCTGGCATGAGTTTGCAATAAACTTCATATAACCTACCTCCTCGGAGCCATTGCTGCTTGCATGCGTGATCCAACTAAGGCCATCTACACTGCACTGTAGTTTGTAGGAGGTCACCCAATGGTCGTCATGATGATAGCGACCCTGAATGATGGTGCCTGTGACGGTCTTCATTTCTCCTAAATCCACCTGAATGCATAGATGTTCTTCGTTATAGAATGCACGTGAAGTTCAAGCTGGGGAACTAACTACATATATTTAAATAGCGTGCACTGCTGGCTAAAATTAGCCCACATTGTGCACAGTAAGATACTGTCATTACAGCAAAGCTTTGACATTCACACTTTAAACATAACAGATTCGAAGTCATCAACGCGGGATATTGTTCGGAAAGGGGAATTCAAATTTTATCACCTTAGAGAAACAGCGAATTTTATATCGTGTGTGGCGCAATAATCCAAACAAAAAATAAGAGATTCTGATATAGTAAAGTATATAGTTTACGATATGGTTTGTGTTAATAAAAACACATCATCGAGTGTAGTATTAGCCATACGATTGTATGAGGGAACTTACTGCACTATTACACCATAGTTTCCATACATTTCTGGCGATCGCATGCATTGCACATCCGTTCATACGGACCCATACCCCTGTCAATCAAACTAAAAACCCAAGCTCCACCCAGTCACTTTGGAACTCAAACATGCAAATACAGCGCTAGCATAAATTATACGACACCTAAAATAATACGCCCCCATTCTGGAAGTAACAGGTAGAATCGTATCTTGAAAGTTCATCTGTGTTGGTAGAATTCATTATGAAGTAAGTTTAAACTGTAATTTCCAACACAACAAAAATTGGACTCACCCAAATTTTCGACTGTACAACTCCAGTCTTTTTCAAGGAATGAGCAATCCACCGCTTCCGTGACTCTAGATAAGGCCAATAGACCAAAACCCACAGTCGATAACCAGTACCAGAGTAAGAACAAGAGCCCGAATAGAGGCCTAGTTATCCTGCCCTATAGAAAAGGCCTGAGTGAAGGGCTCAGGAGGATCTTTGCTACATACGGGATTAAGACCTGGTTTAAACCAACCAGAACCCTCCGGAACATACTGGTTTCACCAAAGGACAAAACACCAAAGGAAAGCAAATGTGGGGTGGTGTATCACATACAGTGTCAAGGACAGAATTCCAAGGGCCCATGTAAGGAAACCTATATCGGAGAGACTGAAAGATCGCTCAAGGCTAGGTTCCTAGAACACAAACGACCTAGCTCAACTACCTCTGACGTTTCACAACATATACATATAGAATCCCCTGGACATTCAGTCTCACTGGACAAAGTAAAAATCTTGGACACAGAACCAGACTTTTTTGCACGAGGGATTAAAGAGGCCATCTACATCAGGGCTTTACAGCCATCCCTCAACAGAGACGAGGAGCGCCACAGACTTTCTGCAACCTATGATCCACTGCTCACGGAGTCACGTGTGTTATCTGCGTGACGTCACGGAAGCGGTGGATTGCTCATTCCATGAAAAAGACTGGAGTTGTACAGTCGAAAATTTGGGTGAGTCCAATTTTTGTTGTGTTGGAAATTACAGTTTAAACTTACTTCATAAGGTAGAATCGTGGTTGTTTAATGTACCAAAATGTCTGCCAACCTGTAACCATTCCCCGGTGGTGTTGTTTCCGGCTGACCAAGCGCCCACACCAGCAACTCCGTTCAACCGACCGCGGTAGGGCTGGTGAGCAACATCCCAGGTAGAGGATGCGGTGATGTCGTCATCGGGTATGGCGCCAGATTCCATCCCAAGAGGATACGTGCAGACTGGAAGGACCAGAAATCTCTGTTCAGTCTGGTTAAAAAAACAAAGGTCGCCTTTCTCTGTGGTCGCCTGTTAAGCCCCTGTCACACATTTAAAAAAAAATATGGACAAAATGCTTGAAGCCTGGCTTATGCCATGTGTAAACTGTGCTGTGTGGTACGCAAAAACATATCTGACGCATGGTGTGCTGTGTGGTACGCAAAAACAGAATGTAACGTTATGAATTGGATTGTTAAGGTTTTCCAGCTCCGTAGATCTCGCCCCCCTCCCACCTCTTACTTAGTCTTTCAAGTTTCAAGTTTATTTATTTCACCAGGGAATACCTCAGATCCATTGATCTGCTTTTCAGGTATTCCTGGGCACACATTAAAACATACAATTTCATAAAAATACAAATCGAACCCAACAACATACAGAAACGTTACAAACATGTACATATACAACACAGTCTACTCTTTTACACCGTACAACAGGTATGGCAGGTACACAAATTTGATTAACAATTCTAACGATATCATTACGGGTTCGGCTGAAGCAAGAAAGTAACCTCCTTGGTTGAAATATTCCCTGTTGCTATGCTCAACAGCATAGGCATCTCAACAACGCAGGATTCATCGATCCCTTGTCTTTTAATCTGCTTATGGCCAAAACTATTTCTTAATTTGATTAATTTATCGACTTCCTGTCCAAGAAAGCCTTTAGAGGGTATACACTAGTCAGTTCTATCAGGCTTTGGCCTCCAGGCTAAAAAAGAACCGTGCTAACCTGGTGCACAGTGGTATGTTGTCTCCAAGTACTTCAATGTAAGCGTGCATGGGTCACCAAAGACGTCGTTACTTGCATTCACAGCGCATTGCTGTAAACCCTGACAGGAATCGTTCACAATGGACAGGCTGTTGGCTGCACTGCAGTTGGTAACGCAATTGGAGATACAGGGGCAGGCATGGGAGGTTGACGTACGGCCGTAGTTGGCGTCACTGATCACCAGCGTTTCTCCCGCTGGGCAGGACAGACGTAATGTGTTCCCTTCACAGGCATAAGCCGGCTCTGTGGATAGTTTAGTTTGACATATTAGGCTAATCTCTCGCCCTCTATATGTATAACCCTAACCCTAACCCTAACACACACACACGCACACACACACACACACACACACACACACACACACACACACACGCGCGCGCGCGCGCGCGCGCGCGCATACCATAAACAATACCTCCATTTTCCATGGAGGTAAAAATTATAACATGATCATGTCTAGGAGATATGCCTACCTGAAAAGACTTGGACTTCACACAGGCTCAGTATTCGTTTGGAGCCGGGAAGACGAACGCCCACGTACTGTCCCCACATCCCCTGACACGGGATGGAAACGGACGGCTTGTTCACCTCGATCCAATGACCCCCACCACACTTAGGGTTCCTAATGACTTCCTTGGAATCTCCAATGTGGATGTTGAAAGGGTTGACTCGTTCCACACAACAGTCCCGGCGGTTGAAGATGACTACTCTGTATATTTGAAAAACAATAACGTTGTCGTTTGAAACATGATAGAAAGAGGTTATCATACGTTGACTCTTAAACAAGCCTCCAAGCCTCATGCTTGCGTAAAAAGTATCTATATTTGTCACAAGTTACCGTTAGCTTAGGACTATGTAGCATTTTATATATACTAGGCGTGTTCAGTGAATAAAATATACGTTTTTTTTAAACTACATTTTAAAGAAAATAATTCCTGGGATTCAAGCAATCATGACTTTTTTCTTGCATAGTGCTGATAGCCTACCATGAAAACTGTTGGATGTACAGCAAACTATGCATTTCTCACATCTATGAGGCTATTAAATCCCAATATTTGCTTCTACCGCAATGTTTGACTGCAATTAAGATATATTTTGTGATAAATTGCAGGGAATTCCAAGTTAAACTAACTTTCAGACTTGTTTATATTAGGACGTAGCCATTTGAACTCTATAATAGGCAGTTAATAAGTATCAGCATTTTATAAATTCTATTCGGATGATCAATACAATTGACGTTCTTAGTGGACATGTTAAACGCCGAACAGCCCAAGACAGTCCTCGAGTAACACATGTATATTTATACTAATGTTTATGCATGTCTTTTTTTCTTAGAGAATATGATTTACAGCGTTGGGGTTAGAATCAATGTTGTTATCTTGCGCTGACTTTAACAGTTGTCCCTTGTGGTTGTTTGCCTAATGCTACATGTACGTTACCTAAGTATCACTGAGTGGAGCTTTTTAAAAAATGTAATGTAAATCATATAATAATAATTGTTTATTGATTGATCGAAGATAGAAGAGTACAATCGCCAGCATGTTGCAGCGCAACTAATAAGTAGTGCTGAATTATATGCTAGTTTAAAAACAAAGAAACAAATATTGCACAGTTAACAAATACACAACTAGACAAGTGAGTATCTCACAGTTAACATATAGACAACTAAATATTAAGCGAGTAAAATGAACTTAACAGTATTTACAATATCAACCAATACATTATCAATATCATCAGTGTAAAAATTATTAATTTTATCGTATGTTACGTGCTAACTGATCTTGGTAGGGCTGGTAATTGGAGATTTACTATGTGCCATATTTGTTTAATAGACTTGTAAGATAAGGGATCGGGCTATTTTTGTATCGATTTGTTCTCGGGAGGGGGGCAAAGAGCTGGTTAAACTGTTTACATTTTCTAACGTGGATCGTCTCTCGGCATGGTGGGAGCCAGGATCTAAAGGGAGAGTTAAAAAGGGAACAGCCTTAAAAAGAGAGTTAAAAAGGGAATATATCATTTCAGCTGATAATGGCTGCTACGGTATGCTTTGTACGATGTGTAGTTTGTATCGAAATAAACCATTCATTTATTCATTCATTCTTGAAGGAGCACCCCTTAATGTGTACAGGTAGTTGAATATATCAAGAGACTCAAGAATTTTGTGGTCATAAAACTAGTGGTAATAGTAATAAATTTCATTGTGTTGGTTTATTTGTATATTTGTGCGTATATTGATCTACTTATTGTATGTTAGGTTGCAGTAGAAATCACGAAAGTTGCTGTACTTTTTTTTGCAATAGACTGTTGTTTAGAAATGTTGTTAGCAAGAAGACAGTTATGTTTTTATTCTGAATTCAACAAACAAACAAACACATCTGTGAGGATTAGACATCCAGGTAATAAGGTACGTTAACTATCACTCAAGCAACTGGATATGATTTTCGAAACTGTCAGACGTTTCAGGTAGCATCTAGTCCCTTTCCTCACTGACACTGGAGAATTCTCAGCAAAGCAGGTTTATAATCTAGACCGTTTAACCCTCAAACACCCGAACTTTTTTGGGACGTCCAGCTAAACCTCCTGGGTCACATCTCTAGAGCTACAATGTACACCCACCCAGGAAGTGATCAAACTGATCACCACAGCTCCAGATTCAACTTGGAGGCGCCCTAGAGGCCGTCCCAGGAGCAGATGGGAGGACCAGGTTTTCGGCGTGCTGGACAGTTTGGGGGTCAGCAGAACTGACTGGAGATTGCTGGCTGAAAACAGAACATCCTGGAGGGACATGGCTACAGCCGCCATGCATCTACTGTGATGCTTGCGGCTTGATTGATTGATTGATTGATTGATTGATTGATTGATTGATTGATTGATTGATTGATTAATGCCCGAACGGGGTCCAAATGGCCCATTTGGTTTCTTTCAAATTTATATTCCTTTTTGCATCCTTTCGGTGACCTTTGCACATATATTGGTTAAACATATTAAGACGTTTATTTTGGCATGATTAAGTGTTTAAAAATTCATAATTTATGCAAAAATAGGTTGAGGCCTGCAGGCATGAACATGGGGTTGACCTTTGACCTCATATGATTGTCAAATTGTCAAACCTCTAAAAAACTGATGAAATAATTCCTGAGGTTGAGGCTACTTGGCAAACTGCGTAATATTTAAGTAATAATGCTTCCTTTGAGGACATATTGAGGACATCCGAACAATTTCGTGTGTAGGAAAGTTAAAATACATGGCTGGAGTCCGTTTGGACCCCAGACCCTCTTACATCAGACTTCCGTTGTTATTTTTACAAATTTGTGCCGATCTCCAAAAAAATTTAGGAGAACTTGTAGAAGAGGTTTACTGACAAAGTCACGGGAGGAATTTTTTTTGGATTAAAAAAAAAATTCAAATAGCACATAAAAATATACGTCTGGGGTCCAAATTGACCCCGTTCGGGTGTTTGAGGGTTAAATGATAAGACATTCTTATAGTTCAAAAGGAAACAAAGTCAAGACAAGGATGATGCAAATTAGTAAAGAAAGCTCCTGTTGTTTCAGAATAGGAAAATCAATCAATAGTTCGTGATTATGAACCTCCTTTTTTAAGAATGTTCTAATGTCATTGACGAATGGTAGTTGATGCTACCTAAAACTGTTTTCTTGACGCAACATTCAAACCCTTACCTTTCAATCATGTACGGTTGGCCCAGATTGACCCACCAGGCAGGGTTATCTTCCTCCTCGGTGTGTGTGCAGGAACCAGTCCGCATGTGGGTACTGGTGATGCCGTCTACTGCACGGCTGGGTACGGCTGCGTATAACCCATAGGTCATGTTGGTGCTTGTTTGGTACGCCATCTTGTGAACAGCAACATTGACACCTGTCAAAGGTACAAGCTGTTCATTAACAATATTACTTACAAATAGATTTTTCAACCTATGCATACTTCAATGGATGATG